GATGGACTGGCATCCCATCCAGGGGGGAGTAGAAATACTCCTAGTCACTTCATGCTACAGAAACTGGAGTTAAGCACCAGCCTAATGGGCCACTAGGCTCGTAAAACAGACTTTACTTTACAGTATGCAAACAGATTAACACAACTTTCTTAATCAAGTCTTTAAGTATTACTCCCAGTAAAGTTTTCAGGTACACATGTACTATACATGTAGGACACCATGCTTCTCATGATGCCTAAGCAAACAAAAGGCATATGGAAACATTTGGTGAGATAATTTTATTACAGTCAAAAAATGGTAAGGAAATGCATGAATGTGTTCGAGAAATATTTAGTTTCTAAATTGTGGTTGGGTCAACATTGAATAATATTAGCCAGGTTCACTACTGGGTAAACTAACTAACTTCATATTAAACTAACCCGACTGTCAATCATCCAGCGGTAAGCCTGCATGAGGACTGCTGGTCCAAGGTACTTGTCACCATTCCACCAGTAACTAGGACAAGAAGTGCTACAACATGCACATAGGATACACTCATACAATCCATCCTAAAGTGAACAAAAGAAAAATTCACAAGTCAGGTCTCTTGCCTGTAATCTTTGTTTCCATGGCCATAATCAGGATTAGTGTGCTCTCTGATGAAAGCAGACTACCACATCATATCACACATTTAGAGTCACAAGAATAAAACAACTGATCAACTAAAGAAGCGCTCGATTGTTAAACAAATTCTCCTCGTCACCGCCTTAGGAAATGTATAGAGAACAGTAACTTCTATATGCTGATGTTAGGGTACTAAAGGTTAAATGTTCATCTGATTGGGTAACATACCAGTTTCTTCCTGTCTTCAATTGATTGCAAGTATTGTTCCTTTCCATATTCCACCTCTGTCTTCTTTTGGAGGTAAGGTTCAATTGAGCGATACTGCTCATAGAAGTTGTTCATATCCTACAACAAAAAAAATCTATCTGTGAGGAACTCACAAATGTAAATTTATGCAAACAGCACCAATTGAAAAAATCTTGGATGAGTTCAACACATTTAAAGAATTTACCTGAACTAACAATTTCACACAAAAATAAACAAAACTTACAGGAACAAGATCTTTAACCACATACATATGTGGTAGTGGATAGATCTTAGTTTTCTTTCCCACATCTGGGTTGATGCGACTGAGAAAAAAATCATTACTTATAGTTAAGAGGTTGGTTTTGTTTAATATGTAATATTTATGTATCAATAATAATTTGGCAAAGGAAAGAATAATGCTGATTAAGTAGTATTGGAACCTTACTGGCATTGCTAGAATCATATACAACTTTGGATTTCCAAGATGACCATAGATGCTTGGGATTGCTATTTCCTCTTTTAACATGTGTCTGCTTGTTCCCTTTAGTCACTTTGTGAAAAGTCATAATAGCATGACCACCACAAGAAATAGAGCAGTTGCCATTGTACCAGGTAGCAACAATTTCACTAAAATGTTTGAGCTATTACTTTGCTTAAAACCCTAACAAGGCAACTGAAGATCTAACTTAAGCAATACAATGCAATACAATACAATAAAATGTTCTTTATTTCAAGAGGGTAAATACATGGTTAACCCAGTAAAGAGTTTTCTAACACATGGCCCTCTGTAAACCAACCCATCCCACCCAAGGGAGGACATCTGTCACACAGTAATCTCGTGTGTGGGAAATTAACATCTCCTTCCCCAACCCTGCAGGAGACGGGACCTCCATTTATTCGTCCCTATCTGAGAAGACTAGAATATCTAACCATTTCTTGATGTTATAGAAAGGCAGCAAATTCTTCTCAATTATTTTCAGGCCCTGAGTGTTGGTC